TCTGGCAGCCTGTCAACTCCCCTACAACAACTACTTTGTTGTCCCGGCCTTTTCAGCTGTTGTCCCACCTTCCCAGCTTGCTAACCTTCCAACCTACCTCCTAGCCGCCTAAGAAACATTCCTGCCACTTTAGTCTACTGCCTCCCTCCACTCCACCTTCCAACATCAATCGGCCTTCTCCTGCATTCACTTTTGTTTGCCCAAGCCTCCGGATCTACCGGGCCAACCTCCACCGCCCCTGGGATACACCTTCGAGGTGTTTTATTGTGTTGTCCTATGTTTTGGTGATGCTATTTTCAGTTTATTAGTGTTGTAACCTTATTTATTTGTTAATAAAAGTTTTTTTTTTATGTGGTTTGGGTCTTTTTTTCCAACATCAAGATAAGTACATACAATTTGTGTAGTGGCAATTTCTCCCAAACCCCAATCCTACCACCTACAATTCAGGAGGTAGGTCATCAATCCCAAACTCTATTCTTAAGACTCAAGGTGACATTCTTATAACCTAACCCTAAGCATAATAAACCCTATTATACCCTACCAAATAACTAACGAATTACTAAATTTCCCTTTTAACAATGTGATATACATAAATCTTCAAATTTTTTTGCGGGTTCCACGCTAGTCTAACATTACTCCCCTCTTAAAAGACACCTTATCATCAAGGTGGAATGAAGAAAATTGTTGCTGGATCAAGTCATGTATGGCTCCCACGTGGTATTCTCGTTTCACAATCCTTTCCATTTAATCAAAAATTTATAGGGACCCTCATGAATTCAAATTGCAGTCTTGTGCACATCCGAATTTGTTGGTACACTGACTTCAAATCAAACTTGGAAGATACTACAACCTAAACAACTCATTTAATAACTCATATCATCAGGATGAGAAATTTCTCAAGTATTGTTCTCTCATTTACTACCTAATAATCCACATAGAAGTGTCAACTCCAATCCTTCTCCACTAACGGAGACTAGGCTAGAGAAGGAGCTCACACTAGACTGTATGATCCCGGTCTCCAACTTTTCTCAGATCCATCTCTCGATCTCGTCCTTTTGTAGGTGGGGGAAGCGGTATGGGCACACAGTGATGGGAGAAACCCCCGATCTCAAGATTATTGCATGCTCAAGTCCGCTCCCCATGCCTTCATTCGATCTCATGGCTTCAGATCCGCTTCAGGCAATCATGTTAATGTCAGAGTTAATCAAATAATAATAGGAAAATCATGTATTATTCCTGAAGGTTTACAACCAAACACACTAGAATAGGAAATAATAATAGACGTGATACAAACTCACACGAGGGTTTGTTCTAGGGGTGGAGGCCGGCTAGGTGGACTGGAAGTGATGGTAGGTGGTGGGAATGGATAGGTTGGGGGTAAGTTGGAGGAGAAAACAGGAAGGGTTTCTGAACGGGGAATGAAGGACAACAACAAATATGGGAATGCTAGAACAGCGTAATGGCAACAGTAGCAGCTGATATGGATGGCTAGGAAGGATGGATTAGGTGAGGGCTGCGAGACCTTACTGCCCTGGGCAGCGGCAACAAGCAAGGAAGGTTCAAGTATTGCTGAAAACAACAAGGGGAGAGCTTGCGGCTGGTTCTGCAGGAGTACAACAAGGATTGGGGAGGCTGGATAGCAGGTAGACTGCAACAGGAGATGGTAGGGGTCGCTGGAAAGAGTAGAATGCGGGTGGTGGAAGGGTTGGGCAAGGATAAGTCACCACCTCGGGAGCAAGATAAATGTTGTTACTCATTTGTATCCTCACATTCTTCAGTGTATACCGTGTCAATATCCATTTCATCATCAACTCCCTACTCAGTGAAATAGACCATAATCTTATTTGGGCAATTTGATCCACCGTGTCCAAAACCATGGCTGCACTTTTTGGTTCGGACGGATTTGGGAATGTTGGTTGCGTCACCTATTCTCCACCTTGAATTAGTTCCTCCTCAGGTAGTGTCGTCTTGGATGATTGACTAGGTGTACTCTTGCTGCTTAATGTTGGGGTTGAACTCCGCTTGTTCAATGTGGTCACCCGATGATGTTGTTGTAGTTGGTGAAGTCTTAAGAACACATCTTGCCTATAATGAGTTGGTAGTTACTAGCATCACATCTCTCATTTCGCCTTAAACTAGGTAGTAATTTACTCTTTTCTTCTCGTTGTCAAAGAATCTACTAGTTCTCACACCATGGAGATGCGTTTTTTTTTAACTTGTTGGCTGTTAGTTTCATCATTCTATATGGTGGGACGTTCTGTTACTCAAACACACATTCTACAGTCTGGAACCACTCAATGAACTCATCTAGATCCAAGTGGCCGTCAAAATATGTCAAATTCACCTTTAATTCAAAATACTGTATTATCGATATTTCATGCCAAATTTTCAGGGTAGCGAATCTTCATCTATAGAATCTATCCAGCCACCATTGTGGCTACTCTCGACGGCGATGAGCCTCAATTACAGTTGGAGGATTTTCGTTACACCTCTTCTATGGTAAGTTCCTGCATATCTCTTTGTGGATTTCTCATAAGCTACATTTGATCATTTCCGAAGGATCAAGTTTTTGACAATTGTCTCTTTGGTGGTGGGTTAGGATTTGGGTTTGGGCATGATGGAAGAAGTTGTATGAGGTGATGTAGAGTGGGAAAGAAAATTTTTTGGGTATGATTTTGGTAACCCTAGGATATGACTAGAGTTAGGTTCTCTGATACCAAATAATATCAGAGTTAACCAAAAAATAATAGGAAACTCTTTAAAAAAATAAAAAAATAATGGGAAAATCAATTACTATTACGGAAAATGAAGCAAGAAGGGTTTTTAGCAAAAAAATTAGGGGCGACGACGAATATGGGAATGCTAGAACAGCTGAGCGACAACAGCAGTAGGTGGTATGGTTGTCCGAGAAAGATGGAAAAGGTGAGGGTAGCAAGGTCCTGCTGTCTTGGGCGGCAGCAACAAACAAGGAAGGGTTGAGGGCTGCTGGAAACAACAAGGGGGAGAGTTGGCGGCTAGTTCTGTAGGAGGACAAAGATTGGGGCGGCTAGGTAACAACCAGGCAGTGATAGGGGATGGTAGTGGTGGCTGGAAGGACGGTGGTTGGAAAGAGTAAAATATGTAGGAAATAGCAGCAAAAAAGCTGTCCTGGGTGGTTGCAATGAAGAGGGAGGCGTGGCAGTGAAGCAGGAAGGACGTGGAATGGTTGGGAAAGGTTAAGTCACCACATCAGAAGCTAGATACAGTCAGAATATTACTCGACTCTTGTATACAACTCTAGAAGGGAATACAGGAACGCTGGTACTCTCCTAACCAGAAACATGACAAAAAATAAACTTAAAACATTGGAAAAATAAATATATAATAATAGGATTATTTGCAGTGTCCTAAGAGGATCGGTTGACTCCACAACAACGAAAAAACCTGGATCGGTTTGGTCCAGGCACGAAAGCTATACGCTCGTGTGTTAAACACTAGCTTGATGACGTTCAAGACCTTCTGATTGATGTAGCTTGCATTCGCTCTAGACGTTGTCACTCGATTCCGTGGTAGTCGGCGGCGTTTGCGTGAAGCTCCACGATCTACTTCTTCCCCGAAAACGGCGCCAAAAACTTGATGTGCCCCTAGCGTGTGTTGTTTTTGTGTGTGTTTTATGTTAATTCAATTCCCCTGAGACGGTGCCGAAAACTTGACCCGACCCGTAATTACGCAGTGATTTAGCTTTAGGGTTTAGGATTTAGGGTTCTTTTCTTCCATGTCCGTGAATCTATCCTCCATGGATGAGAACCTTCTCTCTTTGGCTGAGAAATGCTCCTTCATTTGAAATCTGATTCGAGTGGCCTCTTCCTTTAATTTCTTTTCTAGAACATGTAATTTTTTTGTCGCAATTACTCCCAAAAAGATTTTTGATATGAAAATGAAACTCCTATATATTGTGATTCCATCGTCGGCTTTCTAACTTGCTCGAATCACAATGTTAGGTCACGCAGTCATGCGTTTGTACCCTACGATCCTATTGTTAACTTCCCAACTAAGCAAAATCGCGTTTGTATCTTGCGATCCCGTCGTTGGCTTCCCAGTTAGTAAAAATCACGACTATATCATGCATTTGTACGTCGCGATGCCGTCGTTGGTTTCCCAGCTTTGTGCGATTGTATTGCAAGGTTCAGTCGAGGGCTTCTCAGCTATCACGATCCTGTCTTAAGCTTCCCAGCTAGCTCTTATCACGACTGTATCATGATCCCATCGTTTGTTTCCGAAGATCGATTGCTTTGATACCAATTTTAGAAGAACCAGAATAGTTTTTTATAGAAATTAGGGCAATCAAATATTTTATTTTAATAAGACCAAGCAACACAACTCAAATACATCAAGATAAACACCCACAATTCAAGAGGTTGGCGATCTCTCCCAAACTCTAATCCTAACACTTACAGTTTGAGGGATAGGAGATGTCTCCTATAAAGATATATTACTTTTATTTTTATTTTATTGATTTTATCTTAAAATAAAATATATTTTATGAATAAGATATGATCGTTTTTAAAAACTCTCAAATCACCTATGAATAAATTGTTTTGGGTATTATTAAAAATAAGTTGATTTATTTTTAAAAAACAGAAACATGTGAAAAAAAATGCACTAATTAAATATAATTTAAAAAATAAAAATAAAAACAGAAAAATAAAAGGAATATTCTCATGCATACCACTTAATTCTTATATGCCGCATTACTTATGCATGAAAAAGTGTATTTCACCTTCTTTTCTAATTTAAAATAGTGACATTTTTTATGTGATAAGAAAGATTTGAGTGATATAAACATAAAAAAGTAAACTTTGGGTGTCAGATACATAGGAATTGAGTGGTTTGTATGTAAATGCCCCAAAATAAATATGTTCCTAAATAGACCCGTAGTTTTTAAAATTAGCTATTTGCCTTTCGCTGTCACTCGTATGTTTATTATAGTATATATAATGATGTCATTATTCGCATAACAGGTCAGGATCTGTGCTTTCCCAACTAAACAAATGGGATTGAGAGAGATTGGGATCAGCCCTGATTGCAACCCCGAAAATAGAGCTAGTCCCAGGCAGGTAACTTTCTGCGTTATACTCCCCTCAAATTAAATTAAAATATTTAAAGAATCATATTCAGTGAAATTTTGTTCAGGCTTTTATCCCAACTCAAACTTTTTCCCCTTTTCACTTTCTTCTTAGGGAAATTTATATAAATGGCTACACAATTCGTATGTAATTATATATCTCATACGTAAATTTTCATGTTTACATACATAACAATTTAGTGTTTTAAATCTATGCATGAAAATGTTTATTTCACTTTTAAAAAGTGCTAATAGGGCTATTTTTTATGTGTTGTTAAAGATTTGAGTGTTATTTGTGTAAATATGATAGTTTAGGTATGAAATATGTAAATACATAAGAATTGTGTAGGAATTTAAGTAAATGCCCTTCTTTTTTCGATCAAGTTTTAGCCTTTTCTACTCTTACACGTTAGCTTCACAATATTTTTCCAATTTTTACCTATGCATGAGATGGTGTATTTCACTTTTAAAATAGTGTTGATGGTCGTATTTTTGAATGTAATGTTAAACATTCGAGCGGTATGTATGTAAATATGAATGTTTTTTTGTTAGGTAAATTCATATGAAATTTGTGGTATATATGTAAATGCCGCATGGGAAATCTACATACATATCACGCAATTCTTATGTATTTACATATCCAATACTCATAACAGTTTGGTGTCATAAACTTATGCATGAAAAGGTATATTTCACTTTTAAAAAAGGTCACGATGATGGTTTTTTTCTTATGCGATTTTAAAAATTTTAGTGTTATGCATGTAAATATGAATGTTTAGATGTTAGGTAAATACATGAGAATTGTGTGGTATGTTATGTATGTAAATGCCCCTTTCTCTAAGAGAAACTAATTATGATAACATGCCTACTCCTTAGCTATTAAATTGGGCACTCGAACCTGCCGAAGACGACATCCTCGACAAGCTCTATGAGCTGGGTTATCTGGACGCCATAGTCTGGGCTGAACAGAATCCTCTAGACTCCATTCTAATAGATGAAATCTCATCAGAATGATGAGACTTACAGGTGACAATTCTTAAACCTCCTAAAATTTGTTAGTTATTTATAGCAATTTATTACCAAAGAGTTACTCATAAAAAGCTGACAAATCATATCTGTATTTTTATACGGCATGTTCTTTTAATTTATATATATATATATATATATATATATATATATATACACATTAAATAAATTCTTGTAGATCCAAATCATCTGCTAATTGATCGTCGGCTGATCCCAAAACTTGACATTTAATTTAGTTTACATGCCGCCACACTTGTAAATTGTTGTGAATTGCTTTTCAGAACATTTGAAAGGAAGAATGAGAAGCGTTGAATTTGAATTGCAACTCCATACAGTTCCAGTTTTGATTCTTGTTTAAGAGAGTTCCATCATATATAGCATACAAAAAATTCAAATTTATATATTTCACAGCTAAATTTCTCTATTTATATCTATAGCACTCAGAATATCAAAATTAAAATAAAGTAATGCCTACCCTTAACTTGCCTACCCTAACTTTCTGTCATGGCTCGCCGTCAAGACCGAAGTCATCGACAGGTCTGGCCTCTCCCTCTTCCTCTAGAGATCTCTGGTTAATTGTCGGTAAAATTTAAATGCTAGATATGCACATATGAGGAATTGAGTGGTATGTAGCATGTATGTAGGCCTTATTATTTATTTAGTGATGCCATCTGTGCTATTCCTTTGCTCTCTCTCTTCTCTCTCTTCTCTCTTTTTTTTTTTTATGAATAATGATGACTGATTTATGTATTTTTATTTTTATGAATATAATGAATTAAGGTCATGAAAAAGACCACATTAGAAGATAGCATCCATGTTGTTGTATTTAGGAGTTATTTGGTTTTCTACGTAGCCTAATTAGTTGAGTCGAGTTTGAGCTACCCTTAAGTTGAACTTGAGCTTAAGTAATTAGTTGAGTTTGAACTCGAGTTTAATTCTAAGAGTTTGAGCCAACTCACAAGCCGATTTGTTTATTATAAAATAAATAAAATGATAGTAATTGAAATTATTGTTATAATGGAATGATAAATAAAATGAGTAAATAAAATTAGCAATGTGGAGATACATAATAAAAATATGTTTGATGTAAAATATCAAATATAACTTTTAAATACTTCAAAAATATATTCTTGAATTGTAATAAATTTGAGTAAATTTAATATTAATATATATTTTTTTAAAATGAATTTTCTTACAAGCTCATGAGTAAAGTTAACTTGAGTTTAGCTCATTGAGCTTCGGCTAAGTGCCATTTGTTAAGTGAAGCCTGCTCGCAGACTGGCTTGGTTTGTGTAATGTAGTCTTATTTAGGGGGTCTCAAAGTCAATACCATGCCAACTTTTAAATACAACTTCTAAGTTGTTGCTTCCATCCATTCTTTATTTATTTAATGATTGATGAGGTAGCAGTATATTACTAAACAGTAATGTAAATTTCAAATATATATATATTGAATATGAAGATCATTAAATTAAATTTAGGGGTTTTGCAAATTTATACATCCTATCACCTAAGCTTCAAATTTTACCTACATGCCACCATCTGAAAGATGTATTTTCACTTTTATACCACCTAAATCTCAAATATCTTAATAGAAATACAAGCATTTTAACTTTTAAAAGTGAAATATATCTATGCATTGAGGTGGCACGTATGCAAAAATTGAATTGACTGATGTATTTAAATCTATTAATGTAATATAAAATTTTATTGTAGTGACATTATTCATATAATTAAATTAACTTAATAATTATTATTACTTTTATATCACCAAAATAATTATAAATGTATCCATCACCTCTGACCATAATCAGCAAAGCCACAATTATACCCTTTAACAAACAACATTCTTATATACAGAACAAGAAAAATGTAATTTCAACTAACATCCTTCTCATTATAATGCCTTCCAAATGCAAATAAACACAAAAGGGGGGCCAAAAATAAGAGCGCAAAGAATAGAAAGAAAGAAGCTGCTATATATCTAAACATAACTGCAGTTACACATTCCAGATAGAAGCAACAGTATTTATTACTCTCTCTTGTCCACTTCAACTTCGCCTTCAATATCATAAACATCATCATCATTGTCGTCGTCGTCGTCATTATTATTATTATTATTTCTTTCTTTCTTTTCTAATTTAGTCAGCCCAATATTTCCATCCCCCGGTCCTTTTGTTAATGACTGGGATTCCTCATCATCAGCCTCGGCTTCGCCTGAGTATGCATATCTGTCCCAGAACAGACAGAGCAGATTGTTTTAAGAAGGGGCTTTTATACAATATTGCTTTTCTCCATGATTGGGTTTGCAAATTTGTTAAATCAAGTAAGACCAAAATCCAAAATCTACATGACCTAACCGAACAATTTAACCGATCCAAAACCAAACTGAAATATAATTCGATGATATATTTAGGAAGAGGAATTTACCTTTGAGAGCTTTGAGATGGTCCCCAGAGATAGCACAGTACGCAGAGGAGAGCAAAGGCAAGGACGTCCCAAAAGGCGGTGATAATCCATGCACTCTGCCACCTTTCACTGAATGGATCTGTAGCTTTAAAATAGACCTATGGAATAAAATAACACCAAAATGTAAATATTAAAATTCAGGTGTTAGATGTGTAAATATATCACACATTGTAAGATTATAATTGAAAAATAAAAGTTTGCATAAATCAAGCTGCAATGTGACGGTGTAGGTAGCGTGTGACTAACTAAATTATCATATGCCAATCTTCAAAATTGTTACATACGTACCAATCAATTTCTATGTATTTACATATATACCACAGCAACCTCTGCATGAAAAGGTGTATTTTACTTTTTAAAAGTTACAGTAGTGATATTTTTTATGTTATATGATAGATTTTGGTGGTATAAATGTTAAAAATAAAGTTTAGGCGTTTGATATGTAAATATATAGGAATTGGGTGGTATCTGTGTAAATGCCCCTATGATAAATTACAAAATAATTTGAGCAATGACAATCATTAGTTTAATCCATCATATTCTTCCAAATAGATTGAGAAGAAAATCATATATTCAACATTTTAGTTTCTGAATTCATTAACATGCAATGTACAATAATTAAAAAAAAAATCACAATTGTTGCTGATAAAACGATATTATTAACTAGTTTATCTTTTAGTCTATATATTATTAGTTACATAGTGCATAATGTTAATATCTTCATGATTGTTTATCTAAAAAAATCTATGCAAACTCTTCTTAAGAACAGTTAATTATTGAATATGGATCATACATACAATAACAAAGCAGGAAGTAATGGCATTTTTTGCATTTACATAGATACCACAGGCTTCTCATGTATATACATATCCAACATAAACTTCAAATTTTCGTATCACTTAAAAAAAAATACCGCTATTACTTACTTTTAAACAGAGGTAAAATAGCATAGATGTAAAAGACAGTTTTGGTGATGGATGTATAAATACATAGGCATGGTGTGGCATGTAAATCTTCCTTTTTTTTTTTTTTTATAAAAGAAATAATATAACTGAATTAAGGAATTTCAAAATTAATCCAAATAATGTGTTCTAAATTAATTTGGCTACATTGTAAGGAGCACATGTAACTTATAATTTAACCGTAGGAACACACAATTTAAGGTTTTTTGTTTTTTTCATGAGAAAACCTAGTCTCAGGCGTAGCCTCCCATTCCTCCCATGCCCAGTCACATTACTTCATAAGTAGTATTTTTTTATGAAACAGCAAAATAATGCAAACTTCATACTCTCATAAAGGCGAAATAATTTTTGGCATATATATATATATATATATATATATATAATGTTTAAGCTTAATTGAGATCAAACATTATTACATTGTTAATTTTTATATATTGATAAATCCTTATTTATTCTCATATCAAATTGTTCAATTTTAAAATTTGATTGGTGTTGTATTAGAAGTTTGTTGTTACAGAACCAATATCACTTGTGTTCATCAAAATATATTTAAGCAAACAGATTTGCTATATAGTCCTTTTTCTCTTTTCAATATATTAAATAATTGGAAAACTCGACAAAAGGATGTCATCAGCTTATGCACGTTTTGTATTCACGTATGAAACTATTTGTTATTATATTGCACATTATCATAGTATTTTCATATTGTCTTCAGAGGCTATAACAAGTTATATCTTTCTTTGTTCATAAAGGACTTTGTATAAAACGTTGTTGACATTTAAGTTTGGTGAAAATATTTAAAAAAACATGTTGATTTGATTGGAAAGTAAGTTTTGGGCATACTTTCGCATCTAGTTATGGATGGAATGAAAGTTGACGTTGTACTTCGATCTTCTTCTCGATTTGTTATCATGCGGCGTTACTTTATGTTATCATCTCTATATGGCGTTACTTTATGTTATTGCCTCCAACTACAAGGGAAAATGGCGGGCATATGGCAGAAGAAGTGGCGAGCAAAGCAGGGGGAGAAGTGGTGAGCAGCGGGCGCACAAGAGAAGCAATGGAGGCAGGGCAGAAAGCTTCAGTGGTGACCTCGAGCCGAAGCATCGTGAAGAAGAGGAGACGGGAGCTCGGTCTGATTAGGCCTTGCATGTGATCGAAGAGAAGGGAATAGGGTCCAGGTAGTGTGCTTGAGTTAGCGATTTGAGGGGAAAAAATTCCTTTTTTTATAATGTTTAATATTTAAAATTCCACAATTCGCGTACCATTCGCCCGTGCACGAGCCATATCAAAATGGGTGTCCCTCCCAGGTAACTTCGACGTTCTGGACACACTCACGAGGTCTGTTTCGTCATTTGGGATCGTTCAAACAACTTTGTCAACGATCGGGTCAAAAAATGTATCAAATTCAATTTTTCTTAAAATTTTAGTTAATGATCGATCGTTTCAAAAATTGATTTAAGGTTTAATTAATAGTGAAGCCTTTCAGGTGTAGATGACGCAAATTATGGTATTAATGTGTGTAATGTGCAAATTATGATGTTTATGTAAAGTGAATGTATAAATTGTGGTGTTTGTAATACAAGTTGCAGGATAGATTTATGGGGTGATGTGAATGTGCAAGTCATAAGGGGATTGACTGCGCATGCCAATGAAGTAGGATGCGTCAGACATGTAATTGTAAGTCGAAGAAGAGAAAACTCTCTTTCTTTTAGTGGTGTTGTTCCGGCTACTAGTTAACGTCATCGCTTTCAGGAGATTGGTCATTCAATCGATGACAGCTAATATAATAATAAAGATAAGAACTCATTCTGCATTGACTCTTTCTTGAACATCTACTCAATACTAAAAAAATAGCTTACTATAGTGAAATTAGCCGTCTATTTCTTATTAGCTAATTCCCGTGAAATGGAATGAGAATTGATGTCCCCTAAGGCTTTTAAATCCTATGTGGACTCTCTTTGGGCCTCCACGTGTTGGTCCTAACTACTCAACCCAACGGTGATGGTACATGATCTTAGTCACTCAACCAGGTGGTGATAGCTCAAAATCATAACCACTTGACCAAATGGGGATGACTTGGGACCACCCATGTGAGGCCCCACAAAAGAGTTAAGAGATGGTTTGAGCTTCTAAATGGTCTGGGTCCCGTCACTAGTCCTCCAAGATAGTTGATAGAAAAATGTTATGACTAGATCCTAGATTCTAAGGAGGAATTAGCTAGACATCATAAAAAATGAGGTCAACACTATTTCTCTAGTCTCATCCACAAGAAGGATATCAACAACGAAAAACATACACCAAGGTACATCCTCCTCTAAATGTCCAGTAAGAACATCCATAACTAAAGCAAAAGAGATATGTGCTTAAAGCCGATCCTTGATGTAATACAACTGAAATGAGAAAATATTTTGTCAATCCTCCTGTTATAACACAAGTAACAACTCTAGTATACATATTTCTAATGACTTTAATGTAAGTCATAAACACATTTCTTCTCTAGAACTCTGCATGTCTCTTAGAAACTTATCGTAAGCTCTTTCTAAATCAATAAAAATCATATGTAGATCCTCCTTATTCTCTCTATACTTCTTTGTCAAACCTCTAAAAAAGTGTATAGCTTCCAGAATAGACTTGCCCGACATACATCCAAAATGATAATAAGAAATTTTTGTAATACGTTTTAACCTATTTTCAATTACCCTCTCCCATAGTTTTAAAATATGACACATAAACTTAATTCCTCTACAATTCGCACTCTCTTGTGCATCCTCTTTATTCTTAAAAATGAAAACCGAAGTACTCTTTCATTACTCCTCAGGCATGTTTTTAGTTTTTAAAATAATATTAAAGAGTTTAGCAAGCCAATAAACTCTCATATCTCCTTAATATTTCCACATTTCAATTGGGATATTATCAGATCTTATAGTCTTTTCACCCTTGGTTTTCTTTAAAGTCTCCTCAACTTTTTTTTTATTAATGCGACAGTAAAAATGAAACATTTTATTATTATTAATGTATTTTCAAGAATCAAAATTATAAGGAAAAAAATGCAATTCAAAGAACTGCATCAATAATTGCATGAAATATAACACAGCTTCAGAGAAATATGAAAGAGTGAAGAACTCTTACCTCATATCCTATCCAAGCGACAGAAGCAATTACACAAACAGCCAATGCATTTGTAAATTTTCGATATATTTCCAACTTCACGGAACTCCTCCTTGCCTAAAAAGCCAGAGGAAGCCAAAACATAATTAAAAAGCAAAGCCATATTGTGTCCAATTATGACCAAAAATAACTGAAACCTTTCACATTTACCTGTAATTTTTCCAATGTTCGAGATAGCGATGTGAAAATCCACAGAATTAAAAAAGCATCCAAAAATGCATCGGGAAGTACTAGAAAAAGCCTTGTTTTGCCTGAAATGTCATTGATTGTTCCGACATTTTCGGTAATATCCAGCAACTCAGATGCTAAAAAGTAGGTAACACCAAGTAGAAGCACCTTCGAAGTAAGACCGCCAAGTGTCGGCCGAACAACCCCATATCCCATTGACACAGACAATAAAAGCAAACGTGATACTGTTTTCCTCACAGCTCCAACAGTGACCACCCATGTTGTGATACCTACAGGCCTTGCACCCGTGCTATTGAAGTTCAAAAACTCAAAGTACCAAAGGGTCATTTCAAACAAACCAAGAGCAATAACCAGGGTTATCCAGTTCTGCAGTGGCAATATATCCTTCCAAAACCTCAGATACTGAGAAAACCAGACGATGCCAAGTAGGAGATAAGCAACTGACATGAATACATAGAAGTTCATCAATGGAGCCATCCTTCCTGGCAAATAACCGTCAGGATTTTTCCAATATGTCATACCGGCCAGGGTAAGACCTCTCAGCTTAGGATCACAGGAGATGAAGAACAAGTTGTACATTCCTGTCTTTGTTATGTAAACATCTCGATTATCCATTGGTGCAAATAATAAATTTGCACTGAAATGTGTGTTTATTACAACAGGCCATTCAGGATTTACGGAAGAGGGTCTCCTCAGAACCTCCCCTTGTTTGCAACCCTCAAGCTTGGCAAGGTCAGGAGTACAACATATGGACCTTTGGCCACCATAAGCAGATCCACCAATATTATCCCGATCAGCAGCTTCAAATATTATAGCTTGGATCAACCCTGTACTGTGCTCCATGCTTGAATGCTGTTCTGCGGCTTCATTTGTCCTAAAGAATGTGATATTCTTAAATCTGCAGCAACACCCATTTTAAAATCTGAATGTGTGAGATATGACAATTTAGATGTTACCATGCATTACCAAAAGGTGAAAACTCAATTTTTTTTATAGGTATGTGTGCACTGCAAGTAAATACAAATCGCTTATTCTATATTGAAATGATGAATAATAAATGATCAAAGAAACAAAAAGTAACATATTTTTCTTCATTAAGAAAAAAACTTTGTTCCTAAAAAATGTACTGGGCCATAAAGCCCGTAGAAAATGATTAGAAGTTGGCATAAAAATGCATCTTGAATGTGCAGCTAAACTGAGAACTGGGAATCGACATTCAAACCATGCAAACTAGATGACATTCTTACAATAGCAGGTACATAATTCATTGCCAGCTCAAATATACCAGAAAGATACATAAAGCAAAGAATTTCAACTTAAAATAACAAAAAAATCGACTTCCACATAAAATCATAGGAGTCCCATCTAAATAACAAAATTATCAAACTGACGTTTTACCCAAAATCCTAAACATAAATAGGCTTTTTTTGTCCTTTGCCAGCCAAAACGGTTTCAAGTGTCAATTCACAGAGCCTAAAAGGCTAACAGCTATGAAATCAAACCTTTAGGTCCAAACCTGACAGAACAAAGAAAGCAATCTCTCAAGAACCAAAAACTTCGACAACTGAATGGCGTGCATGAACAAACGTAGGATTCACTGGACTTTAGGAGTTTTAGATAGAAAGGGGGTAAAAAAGGACAGCAAGTAGGAGTTCTCAATACTAGAACCTTCAGGAATGTGCGGCAACATAATCTAAAAGCCTATGACTAAAGGTATCATCTCAGAGCATCCACTGCCCCTAGGGTTTGCTTCTTTACTATTCTAATTGCCACGACAGAGAAAATTCATGCTAGTGTGCTAGGGTTATTGAGATTTTTACCAATTTTGAATGATAATAGCGCTTTCTTGGTAAGAACCAGAAAAAATGGTTTCTTATCGAAAAAAATAATGTATTATATGTACAACCTTAAGTAGTAAATTCATTTCATTTTACACAAATAAATAATAAAGGATGCACTAAGTGCATGAAGGCTCCTACTGATTATAAAAAAAAAGTTTATGTATGAAACATTATCCGGGCATTTGCAAAGAGTTGGCTTTTATCATCCAATGCAATTTATTGTTTTGTAATCCTTCCCACTAAGTTCAGGAGGTAGGTCATGTTTCTTGACATCGAGCTCCAGAAGTCCATTATTATTAAGTACATTCAATATCTTCAATAAATTTAATCAATTTCTATCAAAGACATCAACAAAGCCAGTTGCTCTGGAATGCCTGCTTAAAGAAAGAGCAAGTCTCATACGGAGAAGGTTTCAAAACCCATGATAACAAGAATACAAAAAAGATGACAAGATTTCAAAAATTAATACCAAGACATCGACTCCTCGGTCAAAGTTCTTTCTTGACCGTTGCAAGATCACTGACTAAAACAAGGAGAAATATTGGGAGCTTCATTCAAAACACTGCACATATAAGTTTAGGAAAGCACATATAAGTTTAGGAAAGACAACAAGGAAAAGAAAGTGGGCGACCTCCCTCAGGTCAAACACCAAAATTCAACAACCAGACTCAATTCAATCCTTAATGGCTATGTCAAGAGATAGAAAAGCGCCCACCATCATTCCTACACACAAGAGGAACTTTTCACCAAATGCATTAAAGTTAAGAATGAGATTGCAGCGCTATCATCAACCCTGTCAATATTTTAAGCAAATAGGCTGAATGTCTTTTCCTTTACTTTCATTCCAATAAATAATAGTTAGTACAATCTATTTTGGGTACATAATATTTTGTATAATCTATTTTAGGTAACTTAATTAATACATATTCATAATCTAAATATTCAGCTAAAAGGAAAGAATCCATGCAAATATAATATTTCATTCTTTGCAGTATTGCGAAGAAAGAAACTTTTTATTTTGTCTGATTTCATTTACTCCTCATTGATATCCCCCCTAAAATTGATGTTGGTTGATCAAGAAACATCAATTTGTCAACAAGAAATTGATGACGCTGTCGAGAAATAGCCTTAGTAAATATATCAGTCGTTTGAAGATCAGAGGTGATATGAGGAAGAGATGCAACACCATCCTCATAGGCTTCTCGAATGGAATGACGGTTCACTTCAATGTGTTTCGTGCACTCATGAAAGACAAGATTAGCAGCAATCTGGATAGCGCTAGTATTAGCTGCATGAAGAGAAATAGACTCAAGCTGAGAAAAACCAAGCTCAACCAGCACACCCAGAAGCCAAATGATCTCGGAACAAGCGGAGGACATAGCACGATATTCTGATTCAGTAGATGACTTAGTCACTCGATCTTGTTGTACATTCGATCTTGTTTCTTGCTCTTCCAAAAGATTAAAGAGTTGTCGAGAAATATGCACCATCCAGTAATAAATCGGCGTGTATCAGAACAACCGGTCCAATCAGCATCACTGTAGATTGTTAAGGTGATAGGAGATTCCGCAGAAAAGAACAAACCACAATGAGAAGTACCTTTCAAATACCGAACAATACGTAGAACTGTAGCTAAATGAATATGTATAGGTGCTTGCATAAATTGACTAATTTTTTGCACACCAAATGAAATATCAGGATGCGTAATAGTCAGAATTGAGACTCTCAACAAGTTATCGATATAGAAATGGTTCAGATAGAAAGTCACCATCATTCTGTTGATATTTGACATTTACTTCCAAAGAAGTATTAGTAGAGCGACCATCTTGAAGACCAGCCAAAGCAATAAGTCCCTTCGTATAGTTGTGTTGATGAAAAAAAATAACAGCGGGAAAATAATAAACCTCAAGTCCTAAGAAATAAGTTAATGATCCCAAATCCTTCATATAAAAAGAACCCTGAAGACGCTTTTGTAGCTGATACATCAATTGATTGTCAGATCTTGTGATGACAATATCATCAACATAGACTAATAACAAAACAATTATCTTGTAAGTTTTGCAAAGAAATAATGATGAATCATACTGAATTTGAATAAAAGAGAAGTTAAGAAGAGTATTGTGAAACTTTTCAAACTATGCTCGTAGAGCCTGTTTCAAACCGTATAGGGATCGTTTGAGCTTACAAACATCATGTAAATGTGAAGAAAACAAGCCTGGATGAGGAGTCATATAGACATCTTTTTTGAGATTCCCATGTAAGAATGCATTCTTAACATCTATCTGTTTTAAGAATCAGCCTTTAAATGCAATAATAGATAACACAGTCGGACAGTTGTCATCTTAGACACAAGTGCAAATGTTTCTTAATAATCAATTTTGTATTCCCATCGATTGTTAAGATCTACAAATCTTGTCTTATATCTGTAAAGAGAGCCATCAGATCGAAGTTTAAGAGAGTAAACTCATTTACAACCAATGAGTTTAACATCTGTAGGACATGAAACAATATCCCGTGTGATTGTCTTGAAGTGTTTGAAGTTCCTCTTGCATGGCTTTGACCCAGCAAATTTTTTTCGCAGCCTGAAAGTAAGAGGTAAGAATAGTGGTATTAGTTAAAATTGCAGAATACTCATATCTATCTGGAGAACATATACAACGAGTTGATCGTCGAAGACTTATTGGAGCAATTTCTGGATCAAGTTCGGGGAGGATTGAAGGTGAAGGGGGCAGACGTCGTGCGTAGACAATGTCCGGCTTTAACTGTTTTTCAGTCAAATTGTGGAAGTATAACTGTATCTAGTGTCGACACATGATATTGAAAGTAATATTTATGTTCAAAGAAAATCACATTCCAAGAAATATGTCAGCGACTATTAATCGAACCATGACACACAAAAGCTTTATGATTGGAACAGTACCCCATAAAGGCACATCGTACTAACTGAGCTGTCAACTTATGACGTTCATGAGCAGATAGATGAACAAAGCAAACACATCCGAAAGTATATAGCATATGATAATTAGAATGTTTACCAAAAAATTGATAGTATGGAGAATCATACTTCAATTGTTGAGATGGTAAACGATTAATGAGATAAACTACAGTAGATAAAACTTCAATCCAAAATTTAGCTGGGACATGAGATTTTATCAGTAATGTGCGCACAGTATTCAATAGATGTCGATTTTTTCGTTCAGCAACTCAATTTCGCTGGGTGTATAGGGACATGAACGTTGTGAAACAATACCTTTGTTATGGAGAAATGCTTGAAACTCATGAGATATGTATTCACTGCCAGACCGTAAGGTTTTTATGCAAGCAGAGAATTGAGTTTTAACATATGCTAAAAAGGTTTGAAATACAGTAAATATTTCTGCTTTGGAACGCAAAAAATATGTCAAAATGTCACAAAATGTTTGTATTGAGCATGTGAAATAACTGGTGTAATTCTCCAAACATCACTATGAATAATGCCAAAATATTTATTGGCACGACTGCCTGAATTGTCTGAAATAGAAAAATGTAATGTCTTACTTTTTTCAGTTTACAAACAGAACACTCAATTACTAAATTCTTATCTGTAGAACGAAAAACACCACTTTTATGTAAATGTTTCAACACCATATCATTTGGATGGCCTAGATAACCTAGTATTTTATATCAGATGCCCGTCTTATTCTCAACAACTGAAGAAGCTATCAACGTATTCTGAGGAAAAGTAAATTGTAATGAAAACAGCCTACCGACTTTAGGCTTTTTCGCTATCACCTTCCCTGACACCTGATCCTGCACAATACAACAATCACGAGAAAAATGTACGTCACAGTTATTATCCACAATTTGACCAAAAGAAAGTAAGTTAGTAGATAATTTAGTGGAAACCAAAATATGTCTGAAAGAGGAGTTAATATCACCGACTATCGTAATTGAAATATTATTTCCATCAGCAACCTGAATATGTTGAGTATCAGTGTACAGTCGTTGGTTATGCAATAATCAGTTGTGTCAGTCATATGATTTGTGGCGCCTTAATCAACAAACAAAGGAAAAGGAA